AAGTATGTAAATCTGAGTTTTGAATTGTGTTTTTCATGGAGTAGAAGTGATACACAGATGACTCAGTATAATGTATGATGCAAGTGCCCGGCATGCCGTAGGTGTTCAGAAATAGTTGAATGACTTAAGGCTGTCAGCAAACCAAGAAAAAGACATGACTTTAATGTGAGCTCTGGTGAATCCTCAGCCATCCAAAGGAACATCCATCAGTGATGAGGAGTAAAGCTGTGTGGCGGGTGCTGGGTTACTTATCCCAAGCAGAAGAGGACTTTGGGAAGAGATTTGTTCTAAAAACAACAGCAGGTTCCTCAAAAAGTTAAACATAGTATTACCATAAATTCAGCAATTCCACTTCTGGGTATATGTCAAAAAGAATTGAAAGCAGGGACTAAGATATTTGTACACCCATGTTCCTAGCAGCACTATTGACAACAGCCAAAAGGTGAAAACAACCCAAATGTCCATCAGTGGATGAATGGATAACAAAACTGTGGTATATAAATACAATGGTATATTATTCAGCCCTAAAAAGGAATGAAGTTCTAACGTGCTACAACATGGATGAACCTTGAAAACATTATGCAAAGTGAAATAAGCCAGGCACAAAAGGATAGATATTGTATGATTCCACTTACATGAGGTATCCAGAATAGGCAAATTCATATTGGCAGAAAGTAGAATGGTGGTTACCAGGGACTGGGGGGAGGGAGAGGGGAGTTACTATTTAATGGGTACAGAATTTCAGTTTGGGATAATGAAAAAGTTCTGGAAATGGATAGTAGTGATTGTCGCACAACACTGTGAATGTACTTAATGCTATTGAATTGTACACGCTAAAATGATTTTTAAAAATTACGATATTGATTTTTCTAAGTTAAGTCTGTTTCATTTTTCCTAATTTATAATGAAGTTAGTTTGATAAAATTTTTTAAAAAGCAGGAGGAATTCTATTCAAATGCAACAACTATTCAGATTTTTTAATGCTAACATACTGCGTATTTTCCTGTTCTATTAAAGAATATTTCCCTAAAAACAAAAGAAATCTTCACCAACCTGGCACCATTCTCAGAAGTTTCGGGTGATGGAGGAAAGCTGGTTCTCAATTTTGAGGCACTAAAGCAAAGACGATTTCCACCAGCAACGGAAAACTTCCTTTACCATCTAGCAGCAGCCGAACAAATGCTGAAAATCTGACCGTGGGACAGCATGTGTCACTGACGACTGATAGAAAGCTCCTTCACCGTGATTATCTATTAACTATGTAAAATAACAAAGAAAATGTTCTATTTTTAATGATTTATTTGAAAATACATATTGAGATTTGACCTGAAAAAGCACTGAAACACATATGAAAACACTTCTGATTTTCTCCTCCCTGATTAGTTTCATGCCTACTGTCAGTGTTGGACAAAGGGCTGTGACTACCGTATATAACGTTATAGAACGGCCTGACGTCCTGGAGTAAGAGAAACAAGCTCTGTCAAGTTCTCATGCAAATCACAGCAAATCCAAAAGCCTTCACTGTTATAAGTCCCAGTTTGTCTCATTGTGTAGCCACAAACTAATGGTTTATTTTCAGAAAGCTGCCTGAAATTTTGCTTTGTATTCTTCTAGGAAGAACCTTAATTCCTCATGAGGAACTCTACTTTCTGAGCCAAACTACTAAGTTTTCTGCAGAACTGTCTGGAAGATCATTCAAAAGACCCTGCAGTTGCACTTTCTTGTAAAAGAAAAAAAATTTTTTTTCTTGGCCTTTGAACATTTTGCCTATATTATGAGGGTTTTGCATAGATTTTATACTTGAGTAGACAATTTTAATAATCCATATTTATACTGTTGCAGAGAAAACCATTTGGCAAACTTAAGCCATTCGTACTCTTCAGTTAGCCCTATTGCTAGCAATATTCTTTTGAAAAAGATGCCAGTCCTTATGTGGTAGAGTAAAATCAGAAGCCCATTTGAATATAAATGTCTGTCTGACTGAAACAGCAACTTTATACAGTTGGTAAGGGAGGGTGAGAATTAACTTCTTGCAAGGGCCTAAACCAGAGAATGTCTTCAAACAACTTCAGTAAAGATAATTCGGCCACATATGAAGGTAACCATTCTTGTTCAGTTATGTACCTTTCATAATTGGAGACCAAAAAATTGCAAAATAAGCATGGAGATCTAAATTATGTACTTGCTATTTTATCATATGTATTCATATTAATTATGAAAGGTTATTTTACACTCAGTACTGTTGTCCTCAGAAATCTTACCCAGAAAAACATTTGCAAAAAAATCTTTATTGGATCTTTCCTTTATTCTTGGTGTTAGATATACTTAGCAAGAGCCTTTTTCTCCTGCCTCCTTGGGTGGGGGCAGGGGATGATGTGAGATGAGATGATGTTTACTTAGGCAAACAATTGAAAATTAAATCTGCACTTTATGAAAATGAATACTAACATCTTTTCTCCCTCATTTTTTGTATTACTACATTAGCTAATGATCAAAGTTGTTAAAATTACAAATTTATGATGCAGAAATAAAATATTTTGATACTCAACAAAGTTTTAGGTAGATGAAGAATTTTGCTTTCTCTAATTCTCCCCACTCCAAACAAAAGTGAGACCCCCTTCTTTTTTCTTCTTCTTCTTCTTCCCCCCAAGCCCCAGGACATAGTTGTATATAGTTGTAAGATCTTCTGTTCTTCTGTATGAGCCGCTGCCACAGGAGTGGTGTGGTTCCGTTCCCAGGCCACCGAGGTGGAGAACCCCAAACTTGAACTGCTATGCCATCAAGGCTGGCTCAAAAACCCCTTTTGTCAACTGCAAATGCACTGGGGAATTGAGACCTATTTGAAAGTTAAGGGGTCCAGGCTCGTTCTCTCCCTGCCCTAGCCCTCCTCCATCCCCCACTTCCTAGAGCTGACTCTTTTTTTTTTTTTTTTAAAGATTTTATTTATTTTATTTTTTCCCCCCAAAGCCCCAGTGGATAGTTGTATGTCGTAGCTGCACATCCTTCTAGTTGCTGTATGCGGCACTCGGCCTCAGGATGAACGGAGAAGTGGTGCCTCAATGCGCACCCGGGATCCGAACCCGGGCCACCAGCATAACAGCGCGCGCACTTAACCTCCAAGCCACAGGGCCGGCCCTAGAGCTGACTCTTAACGGTAGTGTCTTCTCCTTTGAAAAAGATGCCCTCACATATCTACTGTTGGTGGCTAAGCTTCCACCTGGAGCCTTTGCACATTTTTTTTTTTTTTAATTTTGTTTAGTGTAAGCCTGTGGCTATACTGAGCCATCTGGTAGATCATTTTTACTGACTTGGTCCTTTTTAAGCCGTTGTGAAACCCTATTTACCAAATTTGGAGCTAACCGTCATTCTGGCCTAGGGAAAACTGAAAGCTACAGGTACATTCCTTGATTTGGGGCAGATTGTGTTGGAAACATTCCCCCAGTACGCAAATGTTTGGGTGCCTACTCTGTGCTGTGTACTATATTGTATCCTGGGACTTCCTTGATGCACAAGACACAGTTCTGCTCTCATGGCGCACAGCCTCTGGGGCACAGGGTCAGCAAACAGGCCATTGCACTGCAGTGTGGCAAGTACTAGACACGATGTAAGTGCTATGGGAGCACATAGGAGGAGCACCTAATTCAGTACTGTGAATCCTGGAAGGCTTCCTGGAGGGAGTGATTGATGTCCAAGTCAGACCTGAAGCATAAGCAGGAGTTAGCCCAGAGCATAGGGACCACAGCCCATTTGAGAACTGGATGTTGGTCCAGAGGAAAGAGATGAGTAAGGTAAAGGCTTTTGCCTGCTATAGCAAGGAATTTGGACTTGATGCTGACGTGTGGGAAGCCATTTAAGGCTTTTAAGCAGGTGTGGTTTAGAAGAGCAGGCTGGAGCCTGTATTGGAGGGAGCCAGGTGGATATGAGATGAGTAACACCAGCAGGGGATGCTGTGGGACTGAGCCGGGGTAGCAGCAGTGGCCATGGAGGAGTAAGTTCTAGAGACTGGAATGGGGGTGGGGGGAGGGAGGAGTAAATAAGGGTGATGCCAGTGATCTTGATGCAACTGGGTAAGTGGTGGTGCCATTTCCTGAGATTGAGGGGAAGACAGTCTCCAGTGGGCACCAAATGGCAAAGTGCAGGGAGGGGCAGCTGGATGTGGGCCCCATGATGGGTCTGAGCAGCTGGCAGAGTGGCAGCACAGCGTTTGGGTGGGGCATGGATGAGAGCAGTCTTAACAGAGCGGAAGGTGGGGTGGAAAGACGGAGCGTAGACAATTCTGAAAAAATGTGGCTGTGAACGGGGGGTTTTTGCTTTTTTAATGAGGCAGGTGACTGAAGCAGTTTAAATGCTACGGGGAAGGAGCAGACAGAGGAGGCTGGAGCCAGAGGGGACGCAGAGGCTACAAAGCAAGGCCCTGAGGAAATAGGAAGGGACGGGCCCAGGGCCTAGGGCACGGCTGACCTGGCACAGAGGGAAGGCTGGGCGTGGGCGGAGTGAGGTCGGCGAGTTTGGTGCCAAGGGGTTCTGCTGCTGGCCAACAGCCTTGGTTTTCACTGCGGAGGAGGAAGCAGGGTCGTTTCCCAGTGAAGAGCAAGAAGGAGCTGGCTGGCAGGTGGCAAAGATTTTAAGTAGTTGTCCAAAGTGGGAGTAAGCTAGTAGGGAAACAGGATTGCTCTGGGGGTTGGAGGCCGTCAACAGCGCACCACAGGTTCATGTTTACCTTGAGATGGGCCATCTATTTAATGCCTGGGCCCTGGGCCTGGTGGACCCTTCTCCTTTATTTTTCAAATACTCAACTTTAGACAAGTTTATTAGTAATTTCACAGTATCCTTTCACAGGCTGACGAACAAACAGAAAACTGAATCTTACATCACCCATCCCCTCGGCAACCCCGTGGGGGTGAGTCAGACAGGACAGCTTCCCATTTCCCCTCTTCCACCCAGGCTTAAGAATCCCAGGCACGACTGGCCTTGAAATGGTCCTGCTGTGTGTAAGCCATCCTGTGGGCGCAGACAGCTCTGGGGTTTCCAGGAGACCTCTGGCAGAGTTCTCAAAACTGAAACGTGAGAGGAGGGTTTTCAAGCAGGAACCAGACAAATTCACCTTCAACTCCCTCCTACACCCCTCTGTTATAGAAGAGCTCTGTTTCTTCTGTTGCAGACTGAATTTCCTTCTCAAGCATACTGCACTGTATCTGAAAAGCAAAGTTAAATTTTTAATCTTTATATTAAGAACTTTTCTGGCCTTAGAAGCCAAGTTTAAAAAAAAAAACATTTTCAGAAAGCATCTATTTCGCAGTCCAACTTTATCAGTGATGTCTAATCTATAGCAAAAAACATAACCTAACTTCTTAAAAACCTTCTTAGGGAAAACTTCAAATATAAACAAACGCAGAAAGAAAATAATGAACCCTCATGTACTTGTCGTCAGCTTGAACTGTTAACAATCTGCCCATCTGACTTCATTGAGCACCTCCCATGCCCAGTTGTGGGGGATTTTTCTGGAGTATTTTAAGGCAATTCTCAGATGTGGCATTTCACCTACAAATACTTCAGTATGAAATTCCAAATGATAAAGACTTTCTTACATAACTACTGTGCCATTATCACACCCAACAAAATTAACAATAATCCCCAATACCCAGCCACATTTCCGGTCTAGCAAGGCGGCAGCTGTACTAGCTGACACGGGCAGGCAGAGGCAGCTGATGGAAAAAGAGCTTCCTTGACAGGTCTTTGAGGCTCCAGACCCAACAGTCGCTGCAGCCTGTGGTACGTCTGAGGAGACGTCCCGGACAGGTGCCTGGCGGAATCCCCCTTAGCTTTGGGCTCTCTCTGCAAGTGGAGGTGGCCTCCCCAAGCAGGACAGGGAGGCAGGGCCCCACCAGCCTAGGACCACCATTCAGCCACCCCAGTACCCACCTTGGACCAGCAGGGTATTTTCAAGGTCCAGCAAATGCCATGGCTTGCTGGTGGAGGAGGGGGAGAGGAGGCTCTGGAGGGGAGATGGACTCCATTTCCTGCCTCCATTCTGGCCTCTGAGAGCCCTGCCCGCTTCAAGCCTTGCACGACCCCCCTGCTGCCTTCAGAGTAGAGCCTGCTTCCTCAGCCTGGCAGTGCAGGCCCTGCCACCTGGCCCCAAGCATCGTGCCAGTCACAGTCAGCCACAGGTGCCCAGGTACACTGGATTCCTCAGCCCTCCTGCACCCTCCACAGGCAATGCCCTCCTCCCTTCCCCATCTCCGCCTATTTAGATCATCCATTTCCAAAGGCTCCCTCTTCAGTGCAGCCTTCCTGAATCAGCTGGCAATTCTCCTATTTCCCTCATCTTCCCATAGCCTTTCAGTCATGTTTACTTTCTAGCATGTAACAGTTGTTTCCATATGTGACACATTCTTCTTCCCGCAAAAGCCTGTGGCAGAGGCTGCCATCTGCCCCCAATGCCTCTTCTCTTCTTTCACAGCAGCAGAATTTCAGATAGGTCCAGAGTAAAGACCTCATTTCCCAGCTTCCCTTGCAGGAAGGCCTGGCCACGTGACTAAGTTTTGGCCAGTGTGGTGGAAACAGAAGTGTCACGTGGCTGTGTGGAATGAGCATGGTGCCATCCTGGAGCTTGAGGCTGAGGGCCAAACCCTAGGGATGATGGCATGCCGAGCTGAAAGGAATCAGGTCCTGGATGATTTCGAGACACACAGGTGCCTTACCTGGACTTTATGTGAACGAGAAATAAACTTCTACCTTGTTCAAGGCACTGTTATTTTGGATCTCAGTTACAATCAAACGTAATCCTACTTAACACAGAGCCCTTCCTTCTGGTGTTCTCTGTCCTGGCTACTGGCATCGCGCCTGTGCCAGAAATCTGGGTGGCCCCTGGATCCCTTTCACCCCCAATCCAGACGCTCACAAGTTCTGACTTGTCCAATTCAAGTACTTCTCTCTAACCAACTACCTCGGACCTACTCCGAGCCCCTCATCACCTCCAGCCAGAACACTTCCATAGCCTCTCAGTGCTCCCAGCCTCCTGGACTGCCCCCACCACAGTGTGCGATCCACAGAGCGATATTTCTAAAATATAACCTAAGCCACTCCCCCCACCACATCGCCCTCATTCCCCCAAAATAAAGTTCTGTCACCTTATGGGGCTTGTGAGGTCCTTCACCACCGGCCTGAGCCCGGGCACACCCTACCCTGCCACTCCATAGCTGAGTAACCTACACAGGAATTTCCCGAGCCTCAGGCTCTTCATCTGTAAAATGGGAAAAACTACCCTGAAGAGCTGTTTTGAAGACAAGAAACTGACTGCCTGACACAGTGCCCAGGACACAGAAGGTGCTGGATAAACAGAAGCTGTGCTTGTAAGTGGGAATACCCTGCAGCTTCCTCTCTCCCACAATCCGGCCACCTGGACCACTCGGAGTGTCCTGGGTGGGCCACACCAGAGCAGATCTCCATGCCTGCGTACAAGCTGTTCCCTTTGCCTCGCTGCCCTTCCCCAGTGCGTCCCCTGCCACTGCCCCCTGTCCAGGCCGTGCTGACGCTGCCCTGTTGTGCCCACACCACCCTGTGTGTGTCTGTGTTCCACCACAATCCCACTGCGTCTGCAGCTACCTCTGTGTGGGGGAGTCTCTCCTTACTGGCCCGAGGACCCAAGCACGTCCCTTCAGCCCTGTAACCTTAAGTCTAGTGGCCACCTGACTCGAGAAGGCCAGTGAGTGGCATCGGCCTGCAGTGGGGAACAGAGAACAGCAGTGGTGAAGGGAGAGACGGCTGCCTCTCGTCCTGACCACTGACAAGCTGTCCTAGATCCAGCCTTTCCAGAAGATGGGCAACCTCATGCCCACAATGACCCCAACACAGAAAGAGGCCACTAGCCAAGGACCAAAATGATACCACAGAGTAAGGAACTAAGTTGCTCCTGACACCGGAAAACAAATCTGGCTACTCAGAATGACTTGAATCCCTACGAGACAAACTGGGAAGAGAGGCCTTTCCTTTCCTTGGATCTCCTAAAGGCCCCTGCTCCGCTCTTAGCCAGGTCTGGACTCCTGGGCTCTGGGGCTCCACTGCACCCCACTTCCCCTATCAAAGCCCATGGTGGCCACATGTCACTGCTTTCTCACAGCTGCTTGGCCTCGACTACAACTTGAGGGTGGGACCCCATTAACTCACCCACCGCTGACCCCAGCACCTAGCGCTGCGTCTACCAGGGCATGCCCTCAGTCAGTGTTTGTGGAATGAATATGAGTCCAGATCATGGCGGCGAGAAATCCCACGAGATTTAAAGCCTTCTGTAAATGACCTAACCTGCAGATAAGCCACCGGCTTCACTCTCTGAGTACCGACGCAATCAGAAGTAATTATTTGCAAAAGGATTCACTTTTATTGCAATCTTATTGTAACAAACTGTGTTCTAATAGGTGGGCCTGTGAGGATTAAAAATATTTTTTTCCTTCTAAAATTTGTTTTACGGAGATGCTATCCACCCCTCCTCCCCCACCCCTCACCACCCTCATAGTGAGTATAGCGACTATCTAAAATAATTTAATACTTCTATGTTAGGTGCTAGCAGAGTTGCCTGAATTAATGATTCTATAATCCTAAACATAGAATTTGGGTTCTGAACAAGATAATTCCACAAATATAAATGCTTTTGAGGACATGACTGATTTTTAACCTCAGTGACAGAAACAAACATTTGAAATTTTCAGCCAAGAAATGCCAGAAATTGCTACTATCTACTACATCACTAATGTCCTTGACACCAGCAACAAGCCTTTGTAGAGATATGGTTATCTTCATTTCTCTTCAACAGACATGGAAACTGAGCCTCCCAGTTTAAGCAAATTGACCAAGGTCGCGGAGGAGCTGGGAACCGGAATCCAGGCAGTCTGACTCATCACAAATTACACATCCTAGTCTACAGAACCGCGCTGTCCAATATAGTAGCCACTTGCGCCATTCGAGCACTTAAGTTAAAACTAAATTTAACTTAAAATGCAGTTCCTCAGTCACAATGGCCACATTTCAAGTGCTCAACAGCCACACGTGGCTAGTGGCGACCATGTTGGACAGCACAGATACAGAACATTTCCATCACTGCAGAAAGTTCCATTGGATGGGGCATCGCTATAGAATATTCGGAGGATTTAAAATACCTCAAAGTTTTTTTTTATGCCTCAGAAAAACGCTTTTCATACACTGTTAAGGAAAAAGAGAATCCAAGACTGCACAAGCAAGCTGGGGGATGGGATTAGGTATAAATAACGTTATTTTGTTTTATACTTTTGTAAACTTTGCAGATTTTTTAGAAGGAGAATAATTTCTTTTATTCTTATCACGAGGGGGGAGAAAAGTTATTTTTTTGAGAGGAAGTTGAATGAGGGGGCACTTACCCGTCCAATCTGTGGGAATATACTGAAAGAAAGTGGCACCATGAGTCCCATTACCAAGATGGTACAAGACAGCTTTAAGGTCCATAATGACCGTGGATATTGCTGGAAAAACTGGGTCCTGTAAGAGACAAGGACACAAAGGTTTTTTTAGAGGCTGGCCCTCCGCTCTAATGGTGGCCATTGTCTTGCGTGCAGCTGCAGCCCACACCTTGGTTCCCACCCACCCTACGAACAGGAAATACCAGCAGCGGCATTGACAGAGCACTCGATACCTGTCAGGCCCGGGGTTAAGCATTTCACACGCATTTGCTCTTCTGATCCCCCCACAACCCTTTGAGGTTAGTGTTACCATCATCCCCTTCACACAAACAAGAGAATGCAGCCACTGACCAGTTAAGTCACTTGTCTAAAATCCCACAGCTCAAAAGTGAGAGGTCCGATTCTAGAGCCTTTGCTCTCCACCTGGGCTATGCTGACACGGTGTGACATTCTGACCCTGACCTTTGAGTGTGAGTCACAGTGTGGGAAGGTGCAAAGAACCCCGGCCTGGGAGTCAGAGACCTGGGGTTCTGGGGTTTGGCTGGGGCTCTGCCACTGGCTGACTGTGTGCTCTCGGGCAAGTCGCTTTCCCCTCTGAGCCTTGGGTTTTTTCAGATGCAAAATGAAAGGGCTGAGTTGGAAGAGCCACTGAGGTCACTCCAGCTTGGATACTATCATGGCTGTGGGATGGCACGTGGTCCTTCTGGGCACCCCAAGGCCCACTGGGAAATGAGGACCATCTCTCCCCACCAGGCAGCCGGTGCCATTATGTAGGCCTCAGGGGACAGACCGGAGGGCCCCAGCTTTCCCAGCAGCCCCAGCTCTGAGGCCAGCCAGAGTGGTTCAGGAAGACTGACCAGCAGAAGTCTCCACACCCATCCAGCCGGATCAACCCTGGGACGTAACAGTTGGCTCTGCCCAGGACGCTGCTGCTTCCTGAAAAGGCGCGCCTTACACGGTCCTAGCGGAGGCTTCCTAGCTCACCATGCTGGAGAGAGTGGACTGGGTCAGCAGCAGGCAGGTGACCCCACCTGGGCCAAGAGAATCCTTCCCTGGGAGTTTCTGAACTGAGTGGAAGACAGTATCTGCCTCCCCTGGGGTTTGCTGTGTTGCTATTTCTCATCAGGACACTTAAGATATGAGGTGGGAGGTGTCAGGAGAAGCCAATGTGTAGCAGGAGAGAAGGAAGCCAACACCCACGAAGGAGAAGAGAGAGCTGTCCCTGCCCTGGAGCTTCTGCTCAGCTGCCATAAGCTACGCTCCCTGTCCGTACCCAGTATTGAAACCAACACATCTCCCTTCTGTCTGAGCTACTGCAAGCGGGCTTCTCATACTGGCTGGTCCCCAGGCCCTCCTCCTTTTGATTTTGGTGGTGAGGAAGATTAGCCCTGTTGCCAATCCTCCTCTTTTTGCTGAGGAAGATTGGTCCTGGGCTAACATCTGTGCCCATCTTCCTCTACTTTATACAGGACGCCTGCTATAGCATGGCGTGACTAGTGGTGCGTCGGTGCGTGCCCGGGATCCGAAGCTGCAAACCCCGGGCCGCCAAAGTGGAGCATGCGAACTCAACCACTACGCCACCACGCCGGCCCCTTCAGGCCCTCCTCCTCACAGGCCATTTCTTCTTCTCAAAAGGGATGACGGTCTACTGAATCTGGGCCTCTTAAGCTAATTTATCACATGCTTGGAATCAAGGGGGGAAAGAGGCTTGAGCAATCTTCACAGCACCTCAGAGCTGGGAGAACCTGCAGATCATCCCAACTCCTCACTGTAGAAGTGCAGAAGCGTGCCTCAGCAGGTGCTGGGACGTGCCCAAGAACACAGAGCAAACTGAGGACAGGGCCTGGGCTGCATTCCAGGTGTGCTGGAATACGCACACCTGGATTCCCACGCCTGCCCCAAATCAATCCTGCCGTCTTAACTGCGATGAAGAGTGTTTAGTAGAAGATTACTGAAGCAACTTCTTCCCACCCCTCCCACCAAGGTCAGGATTTGACAAGTTTTACAAAGATTTTGACTGTCAACTTGTTTATTCCTACCCGGGGAGATGAGCGTACCTCTTACCTTTTAAAAAAATATGAGAAGACTTCAGGGATAAAAGCTGAGGTCCCAAACAGCACGACTCTGGATGTTGCTGTATCTTTAACAGCCTAGTGGAAATAAAAGAAAGCCACTTAGTACATAGAGTGAGACGATTTCCAGGGATCCTGCAACACATGACCGAGACAAGCAAAGCAACTCTCCCTTCTCACTTAGAAAAACAGTGCATGTGGAAAGAGGGTGAGGTAGCACCTGATGTGCCCATGTATGGAGGACGGTTGGGGTTGGTGCCAGGAGAAACTGGAGATGGGATTTACTTCCCCTTGACTCCGCAATGGTCTCCATCAGTCCACCAACCACCCCAAATAAAATACTAAGTACAAGCAAAGGCAGCTTATGAACAATCTTCACTTAGAACTAAATGGCAACCCCCTCGGTGGAACTGCCTATCTGCCACTGAGGACAATGCCACATGTTTTCCTTTCAATCCAGGACTCGGCCACTGGCCTCTCTATCCTGAATAGCTCCCCAGTTATTCCCACCCCTTCCGGTGGAGGAATCCCCCAACAGCTTTGAATGTGCTGGCGTGGCATCACACCCACACGTAACACGCACGAGTCCACCTGTACGCACCCATCTTTTGCTTGCGTAATTAAAAATGTGCTATAAATTTCATTTTGCATAAACATGTATGTAGAGTTTATAACATTTGGTCATCTTTTCTATAATATACATTACTCTATATATTCAACATTTAAACATATAATTTACTGTATGGGTTATAAGCACAAAATCATGTGCACTCAAGGGGAATGTTAGAGACTTTCCAGAGAAATTTTGACTGTAGATGACACTTGCATGTTAACTTCAGAATCCAGCCCCTGGGTAAGACACAGCGCCACCAACAGCACTGCTCTGCACAGGATGAATAGACACACATTCCACCATTCCCTTCCCCCAACTCCGCTCCTTCCACGGCCAGCTTCCATGACTTGGCTACAGTCTACCTTCCGGGATCCTCTCCTGAGCCCAGCACCCATGCTCTCTGATTATTACACTAATGCTCGGCTCATCAGATCCCTCTGTAGGGAATGCCTTTCCTCCATGAGGACAGAGGGAGCCAAGGAGGCGGCCCTTAAAATAAACTTTCAGGAATATAAAATAAAGTAGCTCCATTCCAGGAAGAGAAAAGTGGCTGCTGAGCGTGGTGTGTTTCGACGTCAGTGGGGCGTGGCCAGCCTGTCCCCCTCTGTCTCGAGTGCCATGGGAAGACAGCCCAAACCAGTCATGAGGAGGCGCTGAGAGACACGGTACCGTCTGCAACTGAGTGGGTTACAAGGCCAGTCAAGGGAAAATAACATGCACTAGGTTCCTGAAATCCGATCAATGGGGCCCGATTACAATCAGATATTGCCGGTTACGCAGTTTCTGAAATTTTAGCCGAAGAAAATACACCTTTCAGTGACAGGGAAATGATAAAAGAACGCTCATACTTATGTACAGGTGCAGACACTTCATTCTTAAGAGAAAGCTAAACTTTTTTTTTTTAAAGGAGATCATCAAAACTTTCCTTTGCCCTAAATCGGCCTTCCTGTGAAAAATGAAGTTTCTCCTAGTGAGGTGGACTAGATATCTGGATAGCTAGCAGAACCTGAGGCTGCCTCCCCCAAGGGAGGCTGAGCACTCCTGGCTCCTGGAGCAGAGGGATTCTGACTGGTGAGGGTTTGGGTCTCTGGAGCCTGGCACAGTGCCTGGCGGGGAGGAGGTGCTGAGAACAACTTGTGGATGAAACATCTGCTGTCCCTCTTCTCTTCAGCTGCATGAATAATTCACAGCAACACTAACGCCCTGTAGTTAAAGTTGAGTTGATGAGAAACGCAAACACATGTCCACACAAAGAGTTGCACATGAACGTTCAGAGCAGCATTATTCATAATAGCCAAAAACTGGACACAATCCAAATATTCATCGCTTGGGGAATGGATTAGCAAAATATGGTATATCTATACAATGGAATACTGCTTAGCAATAAAAAGTTACCAACTCCTGATACATGGCACAGATGGATGGACCTCAATGTGCGAGAAGCCAGACACAAAAGACTACTGGATGATTCATTTATGTGAAATTTCTAGAGAAGGCAAAACTATGAAGACATAAAGCAGATCAGTGTTTCCCTGGGGCCAGGGGTGGGAGGGGGAGTGACTGTAAATGGGCAGGGGGGAAATGTTTAGGGTGATGAAGATGTTCTAAAATTGGACTGTGGTGATGGTTGCACAACTGTTTAAATTTACTAAAATTCATACTATACAAATTCAAACTATACTCTCACAATGGGTGAAGTTTATAGTATGTCAATTACACCTCAATAAAGCTGTTAAAAATGTCTCTTTAGGCTGGCACAGTGGTTGAGTCCGCACGCTCCGCTTCAGCAGCCTGGGGTTTGCGGTTTGGATCCCAGGCACGGACCTACATCACTCATCAAGCCATGCTGTGGCAGGTGTCCCATACACAAAATGGAGGAATACTGGCACAGATGTTAGCTCAGGGCCACTCTTCCTAAAGCAAGAAAAGAGGAAGACTGGCAACAGGTGTTGGCTCAGGGCCCATCTTCCTCACAACCCCCCTCCCCCCAAAAAAAAGTCTCTTTAGGGTGGTTCCTTAGGCACAGAACCTTCATTTCCAAAACGAGGTCTTTTATTTCTGGCAGCAATCTCTCCCCTTGTTTCTTGTAATTAGCATGTCCCTACTGTAACTCATTCAGAAAGGTGGCCACTATTTTCAGACTTGCTACTAAATGGTCTGGTAGAAATACGGTAGCAGGTATCTGATGGTTTATATTTCAGCTGTCAATCATTGATAGGATTTAGAGTAATATGTTTCATGAGCCGATTAACGATGAATATCAACTGAATAAGCAGCCATCTTTTCTGACCTCCGCTTCCACCGACATGCTGGGCAGAAGGATGTCCAGCTGGCTAAGGGAGTCCCTTTGAAGGCTGACACTGTGAGAAGCCCAGTTATTCCCTTTGCTTTGTATCAGGGGCTGTTCCATGCTGCTCTTCATGCCAGTTGCAAACAACTCCCTCACATTACAATTCTTTAGCTAAAGTCACTTCACAGACACCAAAAAGGATATTACCTGCTGAAAATATATTTTTTAAAAAGTCCACACCCAAAACGAAACCACCATAGCCTATCCCAGGTTCTTAGAGCTGAATGTACACAGAAACCACTGTGTTGAATTGAGCAAAAGAATAAACTCTCTAATAATAAAACCTATTAAAAATTGAGGCCTTTTAGAAGAGTTCTGGTCAGAGCACTGGATTTCCTTAGGCCATCCTTGACAGCAAATTGGTCCTTAAAGATGAAGACTATAAGAAAATCTGCTGTGAGCTGGAGAGGGAGAGCTTCTCTTAAACCCAGAAAGGGTGTCCACTGACTTCCACGAGCACAGAGCAGACTGGGAGGGCGGATGCTAGGCTTAAGGAACAAGATCTCACACTCAGACAGGGGCCTAGCATTTGGCGGAGGCCCATCTGTGATGGTCAGTCTCATGTGTCAACTTGGCTAGGCTATCATACCCAGTTATTTAATCAAACACTAGTCTAGGCGTTGCTGTGGGGCTATTTTGTAGATGTGGTTAACATCTATAATCATACTGACCTTAAATAAAGGAGACTACCCTCTATAGAGTGGATGGGCCTCACCTCATCAGTTGGAAAGCCTTCAGAGCAAAATCTAAAGTTTCACAAAGAAGAAATTCTGCCCCAAAACTGCAGCATCAGCTCCTGAGTCTCCAGCCTGCCGGCTTGCCCTACACATCACCTAATTACAGCCCTACGATTGCATGAGCCAATGACCTGAAATGAATGAATGAAT